TGGGGCTGTCAGATGCCAACATGACCTGCCGGAACCTACACAGAGCCATACCTGAGATGGTCTCGGGTCTCCTGTGATATGCACCTACAGCCCCCTGCTCAATGCAGAGCTACATCCTCTGGGGGAGTGAGGGGCCTTCGGTCCCTCCTCCCTGTCCTTTGCTCCCACAACTGCGATGCAGGATGTGCTGTGGCCTGGGGTGCAAGCCTGGGATGGGGTGTGTGAAGGAAGGGGGTCATCTGAGACGGAGATCTGCAGCGCTGTCTCTGGGCCCGGCCTGAAGACCCCGCCTGGGCCTCTGCCTCCAGCCGCAGGCTTTGTCTGACTTTGCATTTTTCACTTGCAGTTTGAGTCTTTTTCTCCCAGGCCTCAGGATTCACCTCCTGCTGGGAGGGTCCTTTGAATTTATGACCTAGTGGTCTCCAGGAGGCTAGAGGTGGGTCTTCCCACCTTACTCTAGCGAGCCTAGGAATTCCAACCTGATCCTCTGTTCTGAGCTCTGAAATTTCAGAATGGCAGAAGGGTTCCAAATGTCCAAATGCAGAACAGTGAGCAGAGCCAGGGTAGGCACTGCCTCAGGGGGCAGGGAGGCAAGGGCTCCCCAAGACGCTGCCCTTCTCACTTAACTTTAATTTTGGAATGTAGATAAAGATCTTGGGGCCATCTGGGTACTCAGGAAGTAGAGTCAAGCTTCGGATTCCATTAATGCTGTGGTTCAGCAGAGGGTGGCCCCTTCACTTCCCCAGCAGCCCATTTGCCAAGGGGCTGTTGTCAGGCTCCAGCCCCAGCTCTCCCATTGATCCAACATAGTCCCCTCCCCTCCTGAGGACTTCCGGCTTTCATATATCCACAGACCTGTGGGGCTCCTCCACCCAGGAGTACCATCACCACCTTCATCCACCTGCCCCTCTTCCTCTCCTCATGTGGAAGCCCTGGCTCCCTCTCCCTCCACATGACCCCTGAGAAGGCCACCCTCGTGTGGTCAGCTGGACCTGCTTTGCTCACAGAAGAGCCCATGCTAGGAGGTCCCACCCGACTCCCAGGGTCCACTCCCTCTTATGACTCCCTGCATCCTTCTTCCCCCATTCTGGTGCCTCTTCCAGTCCACTGGCCCCTCCTTCAGGCCGATGGGTTTAGAGGATGCTGGGAGCAGGCGGGTCTGAGACACTAGGCTCCTGGGGCTCCCAGGCTCATGGGACTTGGGGGTTCCTTGGTTCCCTCTCTTCTTGCTCCACCCTTCTGCCTGGGTGACTTCATCGGTTCCCATGGATTGAAAAACCTTGACTTGGTGAACTCCAAATTTGTCTTCAGGCTTGATCTCCCCTCTGACCTCTGGACCCAAATATCCGGCTGTCCCCTTGACAGCTCCCTGTGGGGTCTCCCAGACCATGACTGATCTCGGGCTTCAGGAACTTTGTCCCCAGGCCTTTCCCAGCACCCTCATCTCAGGCGATACACCCCACATAGCTACACATAGCAGTTTCCCCGTCTCCTCCCTTCTGGCCCATGTCCACTCTCAGGAACCCGTTTCCTGAGGATCCCGCCTCATGGAGGCCTAAGGCAGGGCCCACTAATAGAGCACAGAGAGTAGAGAGGGTGGTCTCTGTTAAGCTTCCCTACTGTAAAGACCCCCAAGAACCAGGGCTCTTCTAGGGACATGTGGGGAAACCACTTCCTCTTAGCCCAGGGTGGAGCTCAGGCCAGCCCTGTAGAGGCAGGGCTACTGTTCTCTTGGGGACTGCTGAGCAGCAGGGACCCTCTGGGGACTACTATCCGATGAGGTCATACAGCCATAAAGCAAAGACTCTTGATAGATGTATTATGTTCCCAGCCACTGGGGGTGGGGACTGCTGACCCCCACCATTCCTGGTAGGCAAGCTCTTCAGGCAAGCGGACTGCAGCAGACCTCATTTCCCATGCAAGCCCTGTCTCCGGTCTTTGCGGTGTGGGAGATGATTTCCCATGCAAGCCCCATCTCTGGTCCCTCGCAGTGTGGGAGATGATTTCCCATGCAAGCCCCGTCTCCGGTCCTTGCGGTGTGGGAGATGAATTTGAAGCTGCAGAGCTAAGGAGAGTAAGGGGAGCCGAGCAGTTCCCTGATGCTGTGTGACATCAACCTTGGACAGCTATTTTTGTGGTGTATTTACTGAGCAGCTCCTGTAGGCTGAACACCCAGCCCCCAGGACATTGAGCTTGGAAAAAGACCCGTAGAGCACAAGCCTGTGGGAAAGGGAGAAGCCGGAACTCTGAGGGGAGGTTCTATGATGACTTTGTATCCCAACCAAGGATGACAGACGTGTGAGGCGGTCACTGACCTGCCGTTGGCCACAGGGCCCAAACCACTGGCCCTTCTTACCTTATTTCTCTCCCTCCCTCCATCGACTCATCATCCATCCATTCATTTATTCATCCACATGTTCACTCATTCATTTAATCATTCCGTTATTCATTCAGTCTTTCATTATTCAATTGCTTATTCATTCACTCACTTGTGTGTTCATTCGTATAGGCCTTTGCTTATTTTATTTGTTCATTCATTTACTTGCTCATTCACTCATTCATATATTAGCTCACTGTCTTAGTCACTGTCCTATTGCTGTGAGGAGATACCTTGACCAAGACAACTCCTAGAAAAGAAAACATTTATTTGGGGCCTTGTTTACAGTTTCAGGGGTTAGTCAATTATCATCATGGTGGGAAACATGGCAGCACATAGACGTGGTGCTGGAGAAGTAGCTGAAAGTTCTATATCCTGATCCACAGCAGAGGGGAGAGAGAGAGAGAGAGAGAGAGAGAGAGAGACAGACAGACAGACAGACAGACACAGAGAGACACAGAGACAAAGACACAGAGAGAGACTGGCCGGGTCTGGCATGGGCTTTTGAAACCTCAAAGCCCACCTCCAGTGACATACTTCCTTCAACAAGGTCACACCTCTTAATCCTTCTAATCCTTTCAAATAGTGTCACTCCCTGGTGACTAAACATTCAACTATATGGTCCTATGGGGGCCATTCTTTTTCAAACCACTGCACTCATTCATCTGTTCATGTCTTCATTGGCCTACTTATTTATTCATTCATCCCCTCATTCATTCATCTGCACATTGCACATCTATCCATTCACTATTCACTCATTCATTCACCTGTACACTGCAAGCTACCCATTCACCATTCATTCATTCATTCATTCACCTGCACGTTGCACATCTATCCATTCACTATTCACTCATTCATTCACCTGCACATTGCACACCTATCCATTCACTATTCATTCATTCATTCATTCATTCATTCATCTGCTGAGCACCTGCCATGACCTAGCTTTGTATTTGGTGCTGAAAATGGGAATGGAGCAAAGAATAAACAAAAGTGTTTGTACCTTTAAAGGTCACATTTTGGAGGGGAGAAAGGCCCACCATTTAGTGCAATCAGACATGTACAGCTACAGAAATGATCAAGAGTTACCTAGAAGAGAAAGATGGACTTTACATACATATGGATGTATACATGTAGGTGTGTATAGGTATAGATGGGTGTACCATATGTTCATGCATGTTTGTGTGCATGTGTTTGCTTCTGTGTGTGAGTGTACACAAGTGTGTGTTTGTGTACATGAAAAGGAGTGTGAATAGATATGTGCAGGAGTGCATGTCTTGGTCTATGCTGTGCTGCTGTAAGAAAATATCTGGAAGTGAGTAACTAAAAGAAAAGATCCAGGCGTAGTAGTACATGCTTAAAATCCCAGTATTAGGGAGTCTCAAGCAGGAAGACTGTGACTCCCAGGCCAGCCTGGGCAATACAGTGAGTTCCAGGCCAGTCTGGGCTACAGCAAACAAAGTTTATTCAACTCATGGTCTTAGAGGTGGAAATACATCTGTGCAGCCTCCAGTGAGGCCTCATAGCCGCCTGACACATGGCAGAGCAGCGGCAGGAAAAGGGGCCACACACAGGAGGGGGCAAACACATGGAGTGACCTTGTAGTGACTCACTCTTGCTGAAACTAACCTGCATTCCATGAGGACTACATTAACCCCTGCCCAGGACAAATCACTTCACACAAGACCCCACTTCTTAAAAGACTCATCACCCCATCACCACTAGGCTGGACATGGAGCTTCTAAGTGCATGGACACACAAGGCACATTTGAAATGTAGCCACTCCACAACTGCACGTGTGTGCGTGCGTGCATGTGTGCGTATGCGTGTGCATGTGCGTGCGCGCGTGTGTGTGTGTGTGTGTGTGTGTGTGTGTGTGTGTGTGTGTGTGTGTGCTTGCCCTGTGAGGTGGAGGATGAGGAGGAAGAAGTGCCCAAGTTTAAAGGCAAAGGGAGCCACATGAGACCTTCCCTGGGCTGCTCTGGCAGATCCCAGCTCCCTGCACACATGCCCCCAGCCAGACCCTTTTGATTTTTCAGAAGTATGGTTCTGGAGAGCCTGCCCCCTGTATCAGCTGATGGCAAGAGCCATGTAACATTTCCAAGAAAACTCCCAGGGAAGGGTGTGGGGGCCAGTGTAGAGGTTGGGAGGTACCAGGATCCCAACACTGACCACTAGTGGATTAACTCTTAGAAGTCCTGATGGGAAGCCCCAGGGCCTCACTTAGCTGGATGAGCAAGAATGACCTAGATTGTAACGGGGCCTAGGCAGAGTCCTGTCTCTGGGACAGCCTGGATGCTAGGTGTGGCAGGCAGGGTCAGGGGTTATGTTTAAATGCGGGGGAGCCCAGGACAGAACTCCTAGCCACACTTTGCCAAACTGGCGTGGGCGGGCGGTCCCTTGGATGGTCCTGGAACATAATAACAAGGCCTTATCACTCGTCAGACCAGTCACGCAGTGGCAGTAGGCACAGAGAGGCATGTGGAAAGGTTCCCAAGGCTGAATGGAGTCCAGGTAGCAGAATGAAAGCCTGATCCAAAGACATGAATAGATGGGGGTGGGGGCGGGGGTGGGGGCGGGGGTGGGGAGGGGTGGGGAAGGCTGACAGCTCTCTGCTCCCTGTCTGGTGGCTAGTTCTGCATCGACTGACTTAGGCTCTGCATTCAAGGCAGGGTACCTCCTGATTTTCGGAACATCTCCATTTCACGGGCGACCTCAGCCAACCTCAGAGGTCCCCAGGGTGTCTGTGTGACTCCAGTTCGCCACATTCTGAGCTCCTGGGGCGGGGGTCCCACAAGATCCACTTGGGGGCCCAATTCACAGAGCAAGTAGGAGCCCCAGGGTGCTGCCTGGAAGGTGAACTGGTGTAACCGGGTGGGCGGGCGAATGTGGGTGAGTGAACACAGAACTGTCCTCTTGACGGCTCTCCTACACAACGTGAGCTGCTTTCCTCAAAAATCTGCTTCGGGTTCAAGACATCTCTTGTGCTCTGTTTTCCTCTTATTTTCTTAGTTTATTTTTAATTTCTTGTTGTATGGGTGTGTGCATACATGTTCATGTGCGTACACGTATGTGTGGGTGCACGTGCAGTTTGTATTTGTGTACAGAGGTCAACATGAGTGTTTTCCTCTACTGCTCCCTACCTTGTTTTCTGAGACAGGGTCTCCCTCTGAACATGGAGCTCCCCGTGAGCTAGACTGGCTGGCTGGTGAGCCCCAGGACTGTTTGCCTCCAGGGCTGTAGTCACAGGCACCCACCATCACTTTGGCTTTTGCGTGGGCTCCAGGGATCCACCCTCGGGATGTCACGCCTGCGCAGCCGGTACCTCACCCACTGAAGTGTCTCTGCAGTCTGCTGTTGATTTTCTATTACTATATAATGATGCACTTGGGGGCTGGGCTGCCCGACCCTGCAGGTCCCCTGGCAGAGTGTTGAACCTGCAAGGCTTCTGAGCCCTGGAGCCACCTCCAGGTAACACATCGCCAGCCAGCCATTGCCACGTAGACAGTTGCTGTGCTCTACGTGTGAGCAGCCATGGTGAGCGAAAGCCACACATATTTTGAGCAGATGCAACCTTTTGTGAAATATGGCCCCACAGCTGGCTGAATTTGCAGCTGTGGAACCTGTGGGCATGGGGCCTGTCCACCCCACAGAGTAAAGGCAGCAGGACATGGCTCAGGTAGCCGAGTCTTCCATCTACAAAAGCTGCAATCCAGGCATGGATGGAGCCCAGATCCTCCTCAGTTTGGAGTGAAGGTCTCTTTGCAGCCTCAGGACTCACTCTGCCCTCCATCTCCAAGTGTATACTGCTCATCAGCCTTCCGGCGGGCTCACCTGCTACCTAAGACCTACCTGCTGTGCATTTGTGTGATTCACCCCATTGTGAATGTGTAATTGTATATGTGTGTGATTATAAAGCTCCACCGTGTCCATACACAACTGGAGGAGAGACTACACACGAGAGAGTCACAGGGACCGGGGCCCTAGGAACCACCTTAGACTGCTGGTGCAAACCTCGCTTTCCTGAGCAGGGGCCTGAGTCTGCCCCAGGGGTAAAGAGTTAGGCTTGTGGGGAGACTGACTGGGCAGGAGTGGAGAAGGGAAGAGTTTCAGCCAGCTGTGGCCTTCTGAGAACCAGGGCCCACGCCTGACTCCTTTCTGAAGAGTTGCCATGGCAGTTTATGCTGGGGTACCAGTTATGCTTTCAAGGCCCACCTGTGTGAGGGATGGTGGTCTGCCTGTCCCTGATGTCAGAGTCTGGGTAGAGCTGCAGCAGTGGGGGCTGGGTGTGACAGTTAATGTTAATTGTCCTTGTGACAAAATCCAGAGTCACCTGGGAAGAAGCCTCTGAGAACATCGGAGGGAGCATGTTGATTATGTTAATGGGAGGGCTGCCCACAGTGGGTGGCACCATTCCCTAGGCATTTATCCTTGACTTATAGTAGACTGAGCTCTCTAAGTCTGTGTATGTGTGTCACCACTGTGTGTAGATTTGTCTTTGCATTCAGATTTCCCATCTTCCCAAAGACACTGTCCATCCCGAGGATCTCCTTAGCTGATTTACATCTGTAAAGGTTGCTCTGGGGCTCAGTTGGTAGAGTGCATGCCTAGCATGCACCAAGCCCCAGGTTCTGTCCCCAGCACATTAAAAAGATTTTTTTTTTAAAAAAAGTCTTTCTTCTGATAAATCAGAATTTGAAGGTCTGATTTAATTCGTAGTCACCACTGCCAGCCAGGGAACCCTCCAGCTCGCTGGTTCTGGGTGGCCTGGCTGGCTTGCTGGAAGGGAGCAGCAGGTCCAGTTTCATTGGGGCAGGGCCCAGGGATGCCTGGGTACACTGGTATTTTCACTGCCTGGGGCCCTGCAGTCCCATGGCAGAACCCAGGGCTGTGTGTTGGTTCTGGAAGGTCCTGACCCCTGGCCTGTGGCCTCAGAGTTATCAGCTGCTTTTCTTCTCTTCCCTGGACAACCGCTTCGCCATTGACCCTGTACTGGGTTTATTTTGCTGGAAAAGGGTCAAATTCCAGTGTGCACCCAGGACAGCTGACCTGGCTGCTTCCCAGAGTTTGAGCTGGAAGAGGACCCTGGCCAGACTATGCACAGCCTGACGCAGACTTGCTCATGCCTACGTACGGCAAGGCAGAGGTGATCTGTGCCTGCCCGAGGAAGCAGGTCCCTGTCAGCAGAATTTTTCAGCCTCTTTCCTTTGAAAACCAGCAAGAAAGTCTCCCCTCACCTCCCCCAACACAGTTTCTCTCTAGTAACAACACTGTCCCAACTTCACAGATGCAGCGCTGGGTGGGGTTGGGGGGCGCTAAAGAGACCATTTAGGGTCCTGGGAGAGGGCTCAGTTGGTAAAGTGTTTGTTGTACAAGCATGAGGGCCTGCGTTTGATCGCCAGCACCTGTGCAGAAGTGCCTGCTGTGGCCTCTCAGCACTGGGAGGCAGAGGCAGGAGGATGCCTGGGATTGACTGGCCAGGCAGTCCCACCAAATCCAGATTTAGTGAGAGATATTGACCTTGGTGGCCATTTAACAAGTCACATGTATGTTCCTCTGGTGTCACTACAATAATGCAGAGGTGGTGTCCTGTCATCTGTCCCTCCGAAGACACCTGAAGCCTACACACTGCTCAGGGAGGAATTTTTCTGTTCTGCCCGTCACCCCACATCTCTGAGCAGGTGTGGAGGGTATGATGCCAGGAACACTACCGATGCAGAAAGCTTGACTCTGGCCTGAACGGAGGGTCATGAAGCCCTCACTTTCAATTCGTAGATGAGGCAATGGGGGATCTTGTTTGTTCCCATCCATTAGGGGAAGTCCTGGCCCATCAGCTGGTTAGGAGTCCCAGCATGAGGGTCTTGGAGGTAAGATACATGGGGCAGGTCCTGCCTAGCTGCAGATAACCCTGGTCAGTCCCATCCCACCTCTAGCTAGGATGGCCAGAGACAGTAGCGTCTGGTGACTCTGGTGTCTTTGGCTATGCTGTGAGGGCGGCCCAGCTTTTCCCTGTCACTGATGGGGATAATGTGCTCACTGACCTCTGGCTCACAAGCCAAGCCATGGCTTTTGCCTGTGTTCCTGCCTGGCTCTGGATAGGACATGTTTATACACCTGTGAGGAAGCTCCACAGATGGAAGGCTGCACGCCGGTGTCCTTCCAAGTAGGCCCTTGTGTGGTGGCAAACACTGGCTGGCTTAGATCTCGGAGGTCTCCTTTGCCGCTGTGACTCAGTCATTCAAGGAAGACCCACTTGGGTGTGACAGCGCATGCCCATAATCCCAGCAGAGGCAGGAGGATCTCTGGGAGTTTGAGTCTAGCCTGGTCTATATAGCAAGTTCCAGACCAGCCAGGACTACGTTGTGAGATGCTGGCCCAAACCTAGCTGCCAGTCCTGGCTGCCAGAGTCTCTCTTGAGCACTGGGGTTGTGGTAGGGACCAAAATAAGCCTCTGTCCTCAGGTGGTAGCTCAATCTGCAGGAAAGAAGAAAGTGGTAAGGCGTAAGGTAGGCAGAGGAGGCCATGTGGCCTTGGGGGCCACTGCGTAGGCTTTTTCCTATCTGCGGAGGGGGTTTCAGAGCACTGGGTGGGGGCACTAGCAGACACACATGGACCAGGGTCAGGAGATGCACCTGAGATGGCGCCCACTGGTCCAGCTGCAGCCTGTGGACAGGGCAGGGGTGGGACTAGTGTGGAGCACACACTGACAACCCAGCCTGAGAGGGCCTGCAGGTGCTCGGGGTGTGTGCCTGGCTGTGGGGCTGGTTGCTTCCTCTGTGACCTACTGCGTGCATACCACACGGCCCCTCCTCTTTGCACCTGCCCTGGACGCCATGGACACACTAGGAGCCATCAAGCAATCCCCGAGATCACAGCCCTCACAGCAGCCCTGTTGGGCCCCCAGCACAGTCTCCCGTTTGGAAGCGAATTGCGGTTTGCTGCCTGGCCAGGCCTTGTTGCTGAGTCACAGGCGAGACCAGGGCCTGACCATAGGGCATTTTTGAGATTCCTGGGCTGGCTCCACAGTGGCAAGCCTTCTTGCCCTGCGGCAGGTCCAGCTTCACTGGGTCCAGAATCCCAGCCTTGCAGGACCAGGACGTCTCTGGGGACAGGAGACATGGGAATGGAGACGGGAGGCAAGGGCTAGAGGTCATGGGCTGGGCACCCTTTGCTCTCTTCCTCAAGGGCTATAGTCAGCAGGACCCTGTGGTCCCCGTCTGCACCCAGGGCAGGGGCAGGAGTTAGTGACAGGAGACATGCTCAGAGCTCCAGGCCCTCACTACTTACGGAGGTTTGGATCCTCCTAGAGATTAAAATGTTTCTACGTAACAGTTCATGTTTACGGCTTAAAATTTAAAAATGTGAAAGAGGACCCCAAGAGACAGCTCAACAAGTGAGGGAGTCTGCTACCACACATGACCATTTGAGAGAGAGAGAGAGAGAGAGAGAGAGAGAGAGAGAGAGAGAGAGAGAGAAAGAGTATACTAGTGAGCACACATGTTCTTGTGTGTGTGGGCATCCATGTGGAGGCCAGAGGTCAATATCAGGACTCTCCCCCAGCTGTTCTCCACTTTAATTTTTAGACAGGGTCTTTCACTGAATCTGTGGCTCACTGGGTCCCTAGAATGCTTCTGTCCATCCCCTAACACTAGAATTATGATGTGCACCCTGCACCCAGCTCTTCCGTGGGTGCCGGCATCTGAACTCGGGCCTCACGCCTGTGCAGCAACCCTTGGCCACTGAGCCATCACCCCAGCCCCTATATGGTTTTTAAAACAATTTCCCTGCAAGGTGTGGGCTACACCTGTAATCTTAGTACTCAGGAGTCTGAGGCAGGAGAACCCCCATGGACTGGAGGCTAGCCTACACCATAGAATGAGACCATACACACATATAAACACATACACATACACATACACAGACACACACACACACACACACACACACACACACACACACACACACACACCTCTAGGCGTGGTGGCACACTCCTTTAATCCCAGCACTTAGGAGGCAGAGGCAGATGGATCTCTGTGAGTTCTAGGCCAGTCAGGACTACATAGTGAGATCTTTTCTCAAATAAATAAATCGATTAACTAAAATAAAATTACAAACATATAAAACAATAAAACAAGCTTTTCTACCCCAATCCCTCAGCCCTACTTTTCTCTCCACAGAGGACAAATGTCAGTTTCCAGAGGGTTTCGATGGGGACATTTTATTCAAATCCTCTAAGTTTATGCCTATAGATGGGTGCGTGTGTGCTTAAGTACACACATATGAACATGTATGAACTCTGTTGTCTTAAAGGGAGCATCTCAGTCTTTTGACACGAGACAGCCTTTTGGCTGAGTATCTAGGAAGAGCAGCCAAGATGAGTAGGTTGAGAAGACCATCACACAGTGAAGCCAAAGATGTGGCCAGAGGCCATTGCTACACAAACTCTCCGAAGCCCTCTGGAAACCTCTGCCCCAAGAACCTGAGGCCACCCTGGGAAAGGGAAATTCGAGCCAGCCACCCAGGCTGGGCCTGAGCACCAGGGTCCTCTGGCTGAGGTGAACATGGGCCTCTCGGTGAGGGCCTGAGTGGCAGTGTCCCTTGAGAAGTTCTTGGGTAGCATATACGACTTTACAGAAAGCGATCTTGTCACCCCGAGACCCTGTGGAATGTCTGGGTGTGAGGGGGCATCATATGCCTATAAGACCCAAAGTTTTCAGGCTGATGACAGACTGCTCCTCTGCACATTCTGTAGTCTGTGTGTGTGTGTGTGTGTGTGTGTGTGTGTGTGTGTGTGTGTGTGTGTCAGAAGGTGCCATAGGCAGACTTGACTCTGACAGAGGCAGGCTGTCTCCTTTGCCTTTCTCAGGCTGACACATAGATCAAGGAGAAGCCAGGCCAGAGAGAGAGAGGTGCTGGGAAGGAGAAGAAGGGCATCACCGAGAACCTGGGTGCTCAGGGACCTGCTAGGGTGAATCTTGCCTGTTCTTTCCCATCACCATAAGAAACAGGGCTTGTACTAACACCCCACCCCTGCCTGCGGTTCCCAGGAGGAGGAAGGCCTCTAAGATGGCATTCATTTTCAACCTGGAATCAGCAAGAATGTGTGGGCAATGCTGATGTTGAACTCGTGAGTGCCCTGCGCTACCTGTCCCTGGGTGAGAATGCAGCTTTTGCATTAAGCAAAATACACAAATATGGGATAGATGATGACAAACTTGCATGAGTAGAGCTCAAAGTCCCTTGGTTAGCCAGGAGAATAGATAGATAGATAGATAGATAGATAGATAGATAGATAGATAGATAGATAGATAGATAGGTAGATAGATATAGATGTAGATACAGATAAATATAGATATAGATATAGGTATAGACACAGACATAGACATAGATATAGATATAGGTGTAGCTGGAGTTTTCTCTCTGGTCCTGTCCCCCGCCCCCAGGTCCCGCCAAGCCCCTGCAGTCTGACAGCCCACTTATAAAATAAACACACAGATGCTTATATTATTTACAAACTGTATGGCCATGGCAGGCTTCTTGCTAACTGTTCTTATATCTTAAATTAACCCATTTCTATAAATCTATACCTTGCCATGTGGCTCGTGGCTTACTGGCATCTTCACATGCTGCTTGTCAGGGTGGGGGCTGGCAGTGACTCTCTCTCACTCAGCCTTTCACTTCCCAGAATTCTCCTCTCTCCTTGTCCTGCCTACTTCCTGCCTGGCCACTGGCCAATCAGTGTTTTATTTATTGACAATCAGAGCAATTTGACATACAGACCATCCCACAGCATATAGGTATAGGCATAGATTTAGATATAGATAGATAGACAGATAGATAGATAGATAGATAGATAGATAGATAGATAGATAGATGATAGATAGATAGATAGATAGATAGATAGATAGATAGATAGATAGATAGATAGATAGATGTTTTCCTTTTTTGTTAACTTCTTTATTACATTTATTTGTATGTATGCAGAGGTCATAAGACAACTAGGGAAGATTGGTCCTCTCTTCCCACAGTGTGGGTCCTGAGGACTGAACTCAGGTTATCAGTCATGGCAGCAAGTAGCCCCCTACAAATACACCTGTTGAGCCATCTTGCCAGTCCACCATTTAAAGACATTGGTCCAACTAGCGTTCATGAGCCCAGCCAAGCTCTATGGCTAGCCTTGGCCCCATAGGTCTCATCCTCACTCATTCAAGTCTACAGACATGTCTCCCTCCGGGGCATGGCTCAGACACCAAGAGGAGGGGCTTCTGCAACACCCACCCCCTGTTCATCCTTAGAGCAGCATGGCAGCACTCAACTGAGAAACAGTGTTTACTCAGAGGCGGGAACCAGGGGCCCTGATGCTTGCTTCACTGTCCCCAATGTCTGTCTCTACTGGGGAAGGACAGTGGCTGGCCACCACTGACCTTCAGTCCCAGCCTTCAGTATCCCAGATAGATACTAGAGCTGTCAGCCTGGGGTAGCATCCCTCACCAGTCAGGCTCAGCCATCATCCTCAACAAGCCAATTAAACAGCTAAGTAACAGTGAAAAGCAGAGAGAAAAGTCATTCAGTGCAGCCACATCAGGAAGACGAACAAAGAGGTCCAGAGACCCCCAAGTCTGTCCTCAGGGTCCAGGCATGAGGTTCAGGCTTAAACAGGGGGCAGGAGGTGTGCATTCCTAAGCAGTCCTGGTCAAGGTGTGGTCCTGCCCATCACTGACCCATCACTGTCAGCTCCAGTCTCTCCTGCAAGGAGGTCTGACAAGTTCTCAGAACTCTGTGAGATCTCTGTGGGAGACAAGCTCCCCCTCTGGCTGGCACCAGGCTTCAGCCTTTCCCTTCCCCAGTGTGAGACTCCTGGGGAAATTCCAATGTCTTGGGGTCCACTGTTTCAAAATTCTGATGGCCAGAGGGCAGGACACCTGAATCTCTTGTGTCTTTCTCTAGAATCTTTCGCTCCTGCCAGGATGACGATACCAGTGACGCCAGACTAGTCTAGATAGACTAGACACCTTCTTCCTCCCATAGCAAGGCAAGGGGCAGCTTGCTAACTAGATGCTTGCACACCCCACAAAAGGGCAGCCCGTCTGCACACCCAGATCATCTGCTCGGCCTCAGGCCCACAGCCTGGCAGGAAGTCAATGCTCTCCAGGGAGCTAGCCATACGAAGAGCCTGTTTCTCCACTGGACACTCCCTCTGAGCATCTTTCTGAACCAGCCCCCATCTGGGGAGTACAACTCACAGATAAGATTTCTGTCCTCAAGCCTGTAGCTTTGCTGGGGTCATGGGTGCTCAGGGTTGCAGATGGTAGGGAGGAAAGCCTGTGCTGTCAAGGAGCTGTTGGTGAAGTTGCTATCACTCTACCAGGAGCACTGAAGCCATGCGCTGGTTGGATTGAGTCTCTAGGACCCCTGGAGATGGACACCTGGATGGAGTCCTTAAATGGAGCCCTGGGGTCCCATGGAAGGAATTGTGCCTCTTTCAGAACTTCTTTTGATTTTCAATGTTGAGGATAAAACTTAGGGCTTCACATGCTAAACCTATACCATGGAGCTATAGAGACAGGGTCTCTCTCAGCTGTCCAGGCTGGCCTTGAACTAGTGATCTTCCAGCATCTGGAGGTGGTTCACAGAGGTCCCACAGCAGACAAGAGAACAAGAAGCTGAGCTGGGGCACAGCCTGCCTCCATGATGTTAGCAATGGATGAAGGAGGGTCTTGAATTGGGGCCCCTCCTCTGCTGCTAGTCTGGAAGTTTCTGCCCAGAGCCTAACATGGCTCGTATATCCTCTGTGGCTGATTCAGTGCCAAATCCTTCCAGGGCAGGTAAGGGCAACCACAGAATTCAGCCAGTGCTGCTGCTGTTCCTGAGGTTGGGGGTGGCTACGGGAGTTGGGCAGGCAGGTGCCACAAGCACCTCCACCCCAATGCAGGTGTTGACTTCGGCCAGTGGCAGCAGCCCCCGCCCCAGTAAAGCTGCCCCAAGGAGGCCCAGGTAGGAGCAAGACCCCTCACCCCTCAGACAACTCCTAAGGCCCATGACCCATCCCAGGCATAGAAAGTGGAGCTTCCAAATGGAGGGAAGGTGCTGGGCCTGCCCACAGCTGTAGACTTTCTGATGCCTGGACTCAGATGAGTTCTCGGGGTGGGGTAGGATATGGATCCTATCATCATACTTCCTGTGAAAACAGGAAGTTTGGGGGTCAGTAGTAAGAGTCGGGAAGGAAAGGGGGACTGCATTGAATGAGTCTAAGTTGGGGCAACTCATAAGGTCCAGGGTAGAAGGAGTAGCCACCCCAAGACTCCAGAGTAGAGGGTTAGTCTGAGGACTGCTGGCTTTGCCCAGCCACACCATTCCAGGCTCTGGTCCCTTGGCCTATTGGTCCCTGATTTCCCATGGATCCTGGGGACGTGGATATGGTGAGCAGCTTAGAGCTGGGGGATCTAGTCACAGTATACCCAAGGAGACTTACTTGCCTCCTCTGGTCCTCAGTTTCCCTTCTGTGACTGCTTTGTGGAGTGGCTGGAAGTGATTGTGGCCATGACTGTGTGAACCTTGACCTTCTGCAGGCACGGCCTTCTCTCCAAGGACCCCTGCTCGTGTGTCAGCCTTGGACGTCATGCCCTCAGTCCCATCCTGAGACCACCATGAATCCTCGACCGCTGGAGTTTTGTAAGGGAAAAGGGAGTGTTGGGAATCTCTACCCACAACTCCTGCCTGGTTCTCAGGACCGGAGTGAACAGGGCTGCAGCTCAGGTACCGCAGGACCCCAGGCTCATCTTCTTCCGCTCCCCCCGCCTCAGCCTCTCTTTGCCCCCAGCTTCCTCCCTGAGCTCCTGCCCCCCACTTCCCTTCCTTTTGGGGTGAAAGGAGCAACTGCCTTTCTGTGCGCTTCTATTTCTGCACCTTCCGCTTCCTGCAGAAAGTTCTGGAATCCACAAGGCCAGCTGGCCCTGAGGGCAGGATGTGGGGGGCCTCAGATTTCCTTTTCTCCAGCAGCCTGGCCCCATGGACTCCTGGGGAGAAGGAACTGCTGCCTGGGCTGTGCCGCCCCTGGAGGTAAACTTTCACTAGCGTGTGCGCTGATCGCCTCCTGTATACCGGCTCTAGGCTCTGAGGATGCACGGCAGGACAAACACCCATGCAGTCTTTGTGGCTTTGCTCTGCCACAGCTTTACAGGCAAAGGACAGCTCTATCAAGCGAGCTAGGCAAAGGGCATGGCCGAGGCATGGCAGGTTCTCACAGACAGTGCAGCTGGGGCAGGCGCTCGGCTGGACCGGTCGAGTGCTCACCCAGCCGCGGGTGAAGATGCCCTGGGTTCCATCCCCCGGCACTGCATAGACTGAGCGTAATGTTGTCTATCTGTCCTCCCAGCACCGAAGAGGCGGGGGCAGAGTTCAAAGTCACCCTTGGCCACCTAGAGAAGTCGAGGGCAGCCTGGGCTACATGACAGGCTGTCTCAAACAAACAAAACAGAACAAAGAAACTCACATAGGTGGGACGCAGGGCTCTTCCGTTTTCCACTCTCTTAAAAAAGTGAAGTGTGCATGAAGGAGATACAGAGGAGAGGGGGAGGGAGGCATGGCCGGTGCTGCTGACGAAGTTTCTGGAAATCCCAATTGTTTTTGAGCCACTTGACATTCCAGGGTTTGGGTGGGAATCATTGCAACACCTGCGGCCTCAGGGCCCAGGTGAGACAGGGCAGGTGCTGGGAGGGGACCCCTTTGTCATCATTGTGATTCGGAGGGTGGGGCTGGGACCGCCCAGCCTCTGTCCCACCCAGGGCAATGCTATCATCTGAGGAGGGAGTTGCAGGTCCCCATGGGCAGGTGCAGAGCCAGCCCAGTGAGCAGCAGCCTTCTGGTCATGTGAAGGAATCAGAGCTGGTGACCACCCGGGGGGGGGGGGGGGGCTGAGTCTCTGTCTCTGGTACCTGCTGGGCTGGTGTCCACATTTTCCCTCCTGCTCCACCTGCTCCCCTGAAAGCAGCTCTGGTTGTTTTGTTGAATCTGAACTCCACTGAGTGGTAACTTCTGTCCGTTTTAAAGATTAACTTCCCAGGGCTGGGAGCATGGCTCAGTCACTAGAGTACTTGCTGTATAAGCATGGGGACCTGAATTCAGATCTCCAGAACCCAAGCAAACTTGCAAGTATGGAAGGAGCATTCTCAGTGTGAGCTCTGGAGTGAACACAGAACATCCTTCAGAAAGCCAGGAGCAATCCCATTCTCTCCAGCTAGAGAGAAATGCAAGGTCTCCTTCAAAGGCTTCCTACGAAGAACCGAGAGTCCTCTGGCTTTGGGAACCCATTGCCTGCATGCCAGCAGCTTCTGGATCTTAGTGGTTTGTAGGAGCTTTTTGCATATGAAGGATATGTTTGTCCTGCCTAGTTTGTGATAGGTTCTCTGTATCTTTGAAACATTTTTCTCTCAGTGTGTGAGCCAGTGTCTCAGATTTCTTTTCTTTATGGCTAGGATTTTATTTCCCCCTGAGATTGAAAGCTTTCTTTTCTTTTTTTTTCTATATTTTTTAAAATATATTATTTATTTGTGGGGCATGAACGCCAAGATTGGCAGCAGGCAACTTTATCTACTGAGCTATCCCAGCAACTCCAAAAGTATCAGTTAACTGTTTCTGTTTTGCAGTGGGGCCCAGCACCACCTGGCTTGGGCATGTGGACGTCCCCACAGGGAGAAGTGGTAGTCTGTGGTCCCCTGGCTCCTGCCTGCTCTCTGGGAACAAGCCAACTGGCTGCCCGACTCTGGACTCTGCACCAGAGCCTCGAGTGTTCTTACAGTTTCTGGGCAGAGGGGCCTTGTCCCACACCCACTGGTGTCCAGATTCCTGTTCCCTGGCAACAGAGCATGAGAAGTCATCCAGCCAGTGGAAGCAGAAGGTTCTCTCTGTCTATAGGTTAGGGTTGAGGGTTTGGTCTATGGGATGGCTGGCAGGGCAGGATGGCTGGTCTCTGGAATCTGGATGCATGCACACCTGTGACCTCATTTGTATCTGGAGACAGGTGAGCTGTAGGGAACACCTGCTTCTAACATGATTCCACATTTTGTGATTACGCACATGTCCCCAGATGCCGAATGGAGATGAATCAGGCAGATGGTGTGAATCAAGCAGAACTGGGTGTGTGGTATCGGCTCTGTCCCTAGGGAAGGTGTCAGGCCAGCAGAGGACAGAACTGGGGGTGGGTGGGGAGAGGTCTGCTCACACAGGAACTTCTGGAGGAGGGCTCTAGCTGAAGTAGCCAAGCTGCCAAGGTTGGGGGCCGTGTTCTAGTGCCTATGTGGGCAGCTGTGGCCTTCCTTCCATGCTACAGGAGGGTCGGAAGCATGGCTGCCCAGGAGGCAGGTGGCTGCAAGCGAGACGTCAGGGAGAGATGGACAGACCCCGGAACTGAGGCAAGAAGGACATGGTGTTTGACAGGCTGAGGTTAGGAAGGAGACCGAGTTACAGCAAAGCCAAACCCCAATCAACCCAACAAAGGAAAGGTCCTAAACTGGCCACCGCATGAGTAATCCTAACACTCAAGGGAGAATTCACAGCAGGTCTTCCCAGTTTCTTCCAGAACACCTCCTCGTTCATTCCACTAAGCTGGCCTTTCTCCGGCACCACAAGAACAGTGAACCACACACCAATACCCCTATTGAGAGGCTGTGTGTTCAAGATGGTGGGAGAGATGGCCCAGTGAGTATCGCCGCCTGCTGCCAAGACTGCTACCTGAGTTCCATGCACAGAACCCACATGTGGAGGAAGAGAATTGACTCCTTCCTGCAAGTTGTTCTCTGACCTTCACTTCTGTGCCCCAAAACATATCACACACACACACACACACACACACACACACACACACACACACCACACACATACACACAATACATCACATCCACACACATCACATCCACACACATCACATCCACACACACACATCACATACACACACACATCACATATGTCACAACACATTCACACACACACATCACATCCACACATGTCACATCACATACACATCACATCATATGCACACACACACATATCATATCACACACACACACACACATCAAATCACATTCACACGTCACATCATACACACAGCACCTCATATCATACACACACACATATCACATCCACACACACATCATATCATGTACAAACACATACCACACACACATAAATCACATCACATACACACACAGACACACAGACAGACACACACACACACACACACACACACACACACACACACACACACACGCAGAAGAGACTGCTGGCTAGCTACCTCTAATCCCTAGACGTTATGAGCCAGTGCCTCCATGGCCAAGTCCCAGAATGAGACAGGAAAAGCACAGACCAGTGTGCAGAGGGACAGCAGTGGCCATCAACAGGGACACGGCCGTGTTAGATCCAGGGCCACACTCCGCAGGCTATGGAGTCAGGTCCTTACGTACAGAGTAGGTGCACAGATGAGTCACAGAGCAATCAGAGGTGCCCGGGGGACCACGCAGCTAGGGCCTGGCGGGAGCTCGCCTCCACTGCCCAGGATGGCTGGGGTGCCAGACAGTTCTGCCGGTTCCTCCCGACAGCTCCCCAACTTCAACCCACCCATGGGTTTTGTTCTCCGGCTCCATGTAGATCGGAGGTAGCAAGGTGTAGACCTGTAAACACAGGCCCCACACAGATGCTCACAGCAGGCCCAGGTGCTCACATGCTCTCACATGTATTCACGACCCCACACAGGCACTCGTGGTGTACACAGAGCACAAATTTGAAAACATGCCTGCCTGCATGCACTTGCACACGTGGTCATACACCCACATGCACACACACCACCCAAAACAACCCGAGGCAGGGGCTACCATCCACGTGCCTCGCTGCTAACCAAACTAACCAGTTGGGACTTGCTTAATTGCTGTTGTGGGGAGGAGCCAGCAGCATCCACGGATTCCTGCCAGCATGTGGGTGGGTGCCCTCCAGCCCCTTGCTGCTTGGTAACCAAACCCAAGCCTGGCCTCAGGAATGCCGGGCAGAGGAGAGAAAAGGAAAAATGCCCACACCCTATAATTTGAACATGTCCTTGTGGCACACAGCCTGCTCGGCCTTGCCAGTGCCAGGCCTCCCATGGGCACGTGAAAGGCTGCCGGCTGAGTGGCCGGTGGGCATGGCCATCAGGCTGGGGCACTCTGGACTCTCAACCCTGCTGCGGCCATGCTCTGGCTTCCTCCCTGCTCTTCAAGTTTGACCTGCAGCTGAGCACTGCCGAGGCCGCGGGATGGCACCCTCCTGCTCACTCCTCATGCCCTGCAGCCCACTCGGGTCACCCAAGGACTCTGTGTTACCTCACACCCGCTGCCGGCCCTGAGGATGACACAGGGTGCTGTGACCTGCCGTGAGCTCAGGCTGCCTCTCTCCCCTGGCCCCTGTGTTCTCAGCCTTGGCTGACCTCAAGTGAAGTCCCCACCCTTTAGCGGGCCCACCTTTCCCCTCTCTCCCTCTGGTTTTTGCAGTGTGATTTCTGCTTCTACTAACCCCCATCCTCAAAGTCTTGGCCCCCAGGATGCTGGTTGAGCCACTGGACCCTGTTGGCATCCTGAGTGGGGCTCTGGGTGGGCGTCAGCTTCCTGGAGGAGGACATCACAAGTGGCAGGGATTTGTGGATTTCCCAAACCTGCCTCACCCCCGTATGTCAGAGTATGCTCACGGGCCATGAGATAGGGCCCTGTCATCATCTGTGGCTAATCCACGAAAGGTCTCTCATTGCGAGCGTGAGGAGATACACTCTTCCTGAAGGTCTACATGTGCCCTGCTGGCCCATCGCTCACCACCAATACTCCTTCCTGTGTGTTCTTGAATGAGCCACACTCTTGCCTACCCCAGGGCCTTTGCACAGCTGCCGCTTTAATTCCTTCCTCCCCTGGGAAGTTGTCCTCTGGAGTTATGACCTGGAGAGAGTCTTTCAAATCCGCATCTTCCACCTTCCACAGCACTGCCCACCTCTTCTCCGGACAGATTGCTTTTTAGTTTTTTGGGTTTTGTTTTTGTTTTTGTTTTATTGCAGTCTTTGCTCACATTGGGTTCGGGTCTTTATCCTCTGCAGTTACGCTCCTCCATGTTCCTACAGCTGGACACAGCAGAAGTGTTCACTACCTGGTGATGACTTGAGTGGAGTAAGAAGGTGCCAAGCTGGTGCCTGGCGTGGCTGGCAGTCACACCCGGAGGGTTGTTACAGTCACTCACGTGGTTGTCCCCCGGTAGGTTTTGGTGGCAGGAGCGCTGTGTTGGAGCAGAGGGTCCTCTACTGAGCTGTTTCTGTACTTCCTGTTATATCCGACCCTCCAGGCTCAGCTTCTGCAGGGTGTGGCTTTCTGTGCTGTGCCGTTTGAGTAGACCGCGCGGTCTCCACTCACTCTTCCTCCCCGTGTGTGTCCCGGGCAACTCCAACCTCCAAGTCACAGGGCTGCCACTACACCCACCGGCTGAGCCCTCCCTAGTCTCTGGGTGCCTCCTGCTCAGCACTGGCCCTGGCAGGTGTGAGCAAATCTCATCTTCTAGAAGGCACCTACCCCGCAGGTACCATGGGGCACTCAGAGCACCTGCCTGACATGGTGGCAAGTCCTTCACAATTTACGTAAATAAGTTCCAGGCCCCTTGATGATTGC